AGAGAACCCCAAGGACTCCACAGTTCAACCCTGAGCTACACATATTCACCTCCATTTACTCTTCTGTCAGCTGCATGACATCTGCCAGATCTTTTACCCCAAATAGGTCTACAACCTCGTGCAATAATCTTGCAGAATTGTTACTCTTCTCTCATTTCCCTGTGGTGGGTGGAAAGAATGTGAGAAACAGGTGGGATGAACTTGTCATCCCCTGTGACTTTTATGAGACCTCTTTAAAAAAATAGCCTGCCTCAAGTCCACCCCTTTTCAGAAGCACATCTTCATTTCTGAATTGCCAAGTTGCATTTCCATCAGATAGTAGGGATGGGGCGGGGGGGGGAACACTAATGCTTTTTAGGGTTCAGGGACATACATTGCATCATTCCAACTAGCAAACTGGGTGCAGATCTCAAAATGTTGTGGAGATATGAAGGGATGACCCTTGTTCATCTCCTTCCATGACTTCCATCACAAGCGTCCGAGGTCCTGTCACAATGAGGTTGCTCACAGTCTGATAGTCCAAATGTAAAACATACATTCCATTCACAGAGTACACAAACTGGCAGACCTGGAAAAGGAAGGAACAGAGAAAAATAAAACACCCCAGAACTAAATGGGACCTATTGTTAAATTTATGGGCAGCCCACAAGAGGACACCCTCTTTGGTTGGTTGGTGAAAAATCAAAATGGACAGGGAAAATTCCTTGAGGGGTTTTCTCACTTTTCAGAAGAAGCCATCCAAATCTATCTGATGTGCATTTCAACGCAAATCTGGAAAGACTTGTTAAAAAAAAAAAAAAACATTGAAGAGGGGAGTTAAAGAAATTAAAGAATGAAGATACTGTATAGCGTGTTGACATTTCATTGACATTTTCAGAGTTGGATAAAGTTGACTGCGATTTTTTTCCCCATCTACCTCTTTATGCAAATTGTATTCATTCCCAGTACAGTGCAAAGAGGATTGTAATAAACAAATGAGGAAAACTGGGGGACAGCTCACAGAGTTTCTGTGTTGTTGTTTCCTACAGCCCAAAATTAAAAACAAAAAAATGATAGGAAAACCCAAACACTTCCAAGTTTTCTCCATCTCTACAGATTTGAACACAGTGATCTTCTGCATTGCCCAGGTCTCTGAATTTCTCAATGGACTTCTTAGTTTTTTTGTTTTTTTTTAAACCTCTATATTCTTATAAATATACAGAGAATAGGTGCCATTCAGGGGGGAAAAAACATTTTACATAAATGTAATTTTAAAAATTCACACAAACAGAAGCAGAGCCTTTGGCTGGAATTTCAGCTGAATGCACACAGAATCCGTTCCAGATGCTTAGAGCAATGTTTCTCAACCATGGCAACTTGAAGATGTGTGGACTTCAACTCCCAGAATTCCCCAGCCAACTTTGCTGGCTGGGGAATTCTGGGAGTTGAAGTCCACACATCTTCAAGTTGCCATGGTTGAGAAATACTGATCTAGAGTAAGACTCGATTGCATTTTTCAAGAACTGGAAGGGTTCTTGCCCAGATGTCGGTCAGGACCTGTTCACCACTGTTCCCAAAGGGAAGGACACAAATAAGGGATCCAGCTTCCAGGAAGGAAGATAAGGATGAATGTTAGTAAAAAGGCCCTAAAAGTAAGAATAGCTTGACAGTGGGACTAAGGAGGCAGGAAGTTGGTGAGCTTTTCTTCATTGGAGAATCACACAAAGACTCAGCAGCCATCTGTCAGGGTTGCTGCAAAGAGTGGGAGGTTGGAGCAAATGGCTTAAATACCTCCTTTTGACTCTATAAATTAAGCTTCATATAAACATCCAGTTTTCCTTTCCTGCTTTGGATGGGGTGGTGTTTATTCCAGAAATACATTTTGTTCTGCTTTCAAGCCCTTAAAAGACAGAAGATCCTTTTACTCCACGAACTCTAATCCTAACCCTAACCCTAACCCTAACCCTTGCTGGCTGGGGAATTCTGGGAGTTGAAGCCCACCCATCTGAAAGTTGGCAAGGTTGAGAAACCCTGCTCTAGATCTTCTCCTCTCAGGGCTAAACAGATCCAGTTCCTTTAATTTCTCATCACCACCTCCTTCAAAAGAGAACGAAGCTTTCGTAAGCCAGAGAAACAGGCTTACCTCCACCCATCCTTTAAGAAGCAGTCTTGCGAGTCTCGCTATTTTAAGATTTGTCAATGGAATCAGAAAGAAATTAACCCTGGAGTTAATTTCTCTGCCTCCTCATCTAAAGCCTTCAAGGGGCAAAACCTTTTCCCAACTCCCTGCCCTTCCCCAACTTCATTCTTAAGGAACTGTTCTCAGCCGAGTGCAAAACCCACTTATCTGTGGTTCAGCGGATCCCAGGTGGCATCTTTTCCTGTTATGCTTGAATAGACTGAGAGGGTTAGCTTGTTGAATTAAGGGATACACTCTTTGCACCATCAGCACTAATGCACCCATCTATTTCCAAGGGCTAGAAGGCCTCCTCCCTGAATAGCTTTGACAATCACCATCAAGAATGGCCAATGGGGGGGGGGGGGGGGTGGCAAAAAAGTCAAAAAGACAGTCACAACCCTGCAATTGAAGGATCACCTTTTTTTTATGTGCAAAGCACAATAAAAAGCAGCGAGGTTCAATCACAGAGTCACAACCACTATCTTGACTTTTCTGACCCCCATCTGCAGATGCTCCTGCTCACTGCATCCTTGACTGAACAGCTTTGGAGGGTCAGAATCCAACAAGGCAGATGGAGAAGCTACTGTCTGCTGTGGAGGAGCAGATTTCAAAGCAGAGGTGAGCAACTAGTGGTCTTCCAGATGTTGCCAAAAGGGTCCCCAGCATTCCTCAAAATTGGCTGTAATGGTTGAGACTGCTGGAAGTTGTCACTCAGGAACATCTGGAGGGGCCATAGGCTACTACCCCCTGGACAGATATTCGTCTGTTTGGATAGTTTTCCCCCAGCTAGCAGAATACCCAGCATTCCCAGTAAACACAATCCTTTGGCTGAGGATTCTGGGAGAGTTGGAGACATCTGGGGGCACCCGCTTTAGGTAGTAAAAATTTCCCAGGTGCTGAACTCATTTGATCAGCTCAATCACTTGGCTGGCCATGGCTCCCAAGAGGAAGGACAATATCAGCTTCCTGTCCATGCTAAGAAGTTTTCCCACCTCCCAACTCTGACAATGCATGAGCAGTTGATGGATGGAGGGTCCTTTGGCAGGGAAAGTAATCAGATGGGAAGATCCTACATATTTAATTCATGAGGCTCAAATCTAGTACCTTCATGCCAGCAGCAGCAGCTGGTCCTCCTGGATCTACAGCCTGGATATGGCATGGCTGACCTCCACGGACCACAAAACCCCAACCAACTGCATCCCCTACAATCTGCAAATGAAAAGGGAAACCGTGACTATCATTTGCTTGCCAACAAGCTTGCAAAAGTTCTCTGTGAGTTAAAGGACCCACACCTCAGTCCTTGGCACAGAGCAGAAAGCTGACCAATATTCCTTCCTTCCATCCATCCATCCATCCATCCATCCATCCATCCATCCATCCATCCATCAT